CGGGGGGCGGCTGAATGTGGATGGGCTGCAGCGCAGGTGCTGCGGGGGCCAGCGCTGCTGACGCTGGGAAGGGCTTGACCTGCTTTGCGAGAAGCTGCTGCTGGATGTGCTGCTGTGCCACTTGCTGGAGCTTGCTGTACTTCTCCATCTCCTCTGGCGTGAAGGTGATGGGCTGGCTCTCCAACGGCGCTAGGGAAGCGTCCTCTGCGCCGTCTGGGTCTCCGTCCAGGCTCGGCTCCCCGCCCTGAGCTACATAAGCCGGGAAGTGTTCCACCTCGGGGACCAAGGGCAGCATGCTGGGCTCTGCAGGGCCAGGCGGGGTCCCGCTCTCCCCCGGCGCCAGGGCGTCGCCCTCCCCGGGCTCAGGGAGATAGCGGGGCGGCACCACCAGCTCGGCAGAGCTGTAGCACTCAGGCAGCACCTGCGGGTCAAGAGGAACAGGCGGGGTTTCCACAACAGGCTCAGCACATTTCTGTTCTTCCAGAGGCTTGTCCTGCAGCAGAACCACCTCTTCTTCCAGCAAGGGAAGGCCGACCGACTGACTGTCCCCGCCGCTCCCCTGGGAAGCGTCCTCCGGCTCCGACACCTCCTGCTCCTCCCCTCTCTCCAGGCCCGCCTCTTCGCAGCGCTTCGCACTTGGCTTTCGGGTTGTAGGCAGCTTCCCAATCAAAGGGAGAACTGGTTTGTTCCCTAGAGAGGGAGGAAGCTTAGGGCCAAAATACCCCTGGGGAGGATCTTTAAGTTTTATCCCCACCTTGCCTGCCCCTGCTGGCCCTTCCTCGTTAGCACCGGGCTTCTTTTCAACCTTCCTGGACTGAACCTTTTCCAGCAGCAGCTTTGCTGTGACCGAGTTCCTTTCCTCCGGAGCACAGTCGCTGTCAGGAGCCTTCCCCAAGCCGGAGCTACAGCTGCTCTGGGGGAGAGCGCTCACTGCCTTTGCCCCCTCCCCTCGGCTCTCTCTTTTCAGAGACCCTTCCCGGCGGCCCGCTCTGAAATAGTGAGGGGACTGGGAGCGGTAGATCTTGGATCTGATGAAATCTCTTCGGCCAGATCGCCTGTCTTCAGGGCTCTCGTGGTCCCGAGAGCCCTTTCTGGAAAGGGATCTCTGCGAGTGGCTCCTCGTGCTCCGGCTGCGATCTCTGCTGTAGCTCCGGCTCCGTTTCCAACTGCGGCCAGTTCCGCTGCGACTTCTCCTCTTGCTGCGACTGCGACTGCTGCTCCGTGTTCTACCCCGGCTTCTCGTTCTGGACCTTCCCCTCGGGTGGGTTCGGCTCCTGCTCCGACTTCTCGACCTGCTCCTGCTAAGGCTGTAGTCATCGTCCGAGGAGGAGTACTTGTGCCTTTTCGCTCTGTGCTTGGAGCTGGTGTAGTCAGAATCCTCGGAGTCATGAGACCTCTTGGAATGACACCGTGACCTGTCACTGTAGTCACTATAGCTATCGTCGGAGTAACTTCTCCTGCGACTGTACCGACTGTGGTCTGACGAGGCGTCAGAACTCGTGGAGTACGACCTTCGGGAGGACCTGCGAGAAGAATGCCTTCGCCCTGACCTGGAACGGCTTCTGGAGTGGTCGCTACCAGAGTCATACTCATCACTGTACTGGGACACGGATTTCTGTCGGGAGTCTTTTCGGTGAGAGCCTTCATCGCTGTCGTAGTCCCCACTGCTCTGCCGGCTCCTGGGGCTGGACCTGCCAAGGGAAGGTGCAGAACCCCGCCGCCTCGAGGCACAAGACTGTTGCTGCAGGTCAGTCTTGGGTTTTTTGCTGCTGTGCTCTTGGGAAGAGTTCCCGCTGTCCTCTCTCTTGCTACTTGCCCCTTCTTCTGCAGAAAGCATCTTCCGCTGAGCGCCCTGGAAGCAGGGTTTTTTCTTCTGCAAACGGGTCCCGTCGTCAGGCACATCAGGGTTGAGCCCCCGCTCGGCTTCAGGAAGGACAGAGGGTTTGCTTTTTTTGTGTTTGTGTTTCTTCCGTTTCTTAGGCTTTTCCTCCCTCACGTCTGTTTTGCGGCTTTTCTCTTCTGCTTCTTCCTTGTGTTTACGTTTGTGCTTGCTGGACTTTTTGTGCTTCTTTTTCTTTTTATGTTTGTGGGATTTCCCAACCTTGTCTTTTTTATTGGTTAGAGTTTTACTACTGTCATCTGCTTCTTCCAGCTTGCTAATGCTTGCCAAGTTAGACTCCTGCTTGCTTTGGGTACCACAGGCAGCCACGAGTTTAGTTTCTGGTTTGACAGCAGAACTGTTAGCTATGCTTCCTTTTTCCTTGCTTTTGCTTATGTCACCACATTCCGTGACCTGTAGATTTTCCTTAGACAGACCTAACGCGTCTTTAGGTTTTTCTATCCCTTTTGCTTTAGCATCTTTGTTGCGTGACAGCTTAAAATCGAAATACAAAGGGTTACAGCTATAGGAAACAGATGGCTCTGCCCTGGTGAATATCAGAAGTTCTGAAGGCCACTGCAAAGTAGTGCTTTCATCTTTACTCAACACAGGGAAAAAGGGTCCCATTGGGTGCTTTGGTCCCTCAACAACTTCTTTACCACTTGGGATAGGCTGAGCGGCTTCTTCAGTAGTGTCTTGTTCTGGGGGGTCACTTTCTGTGCACGGCTGGCTTTCCTGTACACTTGCATTTTCTGGAATTTCTTTTGCTTCTGTTTTGGTTCCCTGCTCTGTAAGTTCAGCTGCACTTGGCTCCTCCGGCTGCACAGTGCACTCAGCTGCTTTTTCTAGGTGCTTGGAGGTTCTGGGTTTCGGAGAATTACTCTTTTTACTTTCATGCACAGTTTTTTTACCTCCGTTTCCTGCTTCCATTTGCTCAGTGGACTTCATGAAAAGCAGGAACTGGAAGTTTGGTTTTACTTTACAATGGGCTGGGGGGATATAATGATAATATTCTGGCTCAACTGGCACTGGTCCATCTTCTCTTCTCATCTTTTTTAACTTAGATAATGTAGTGGCAAGAGCACCACTGTCCCGTTCATGCTGGTCATCCTCCTCCACTCTGTTGTCAGGACTGTGTGTGTTCTCGGCTTCACCAGTCTTCTGCAAAGTCCCCTGGTCGGAGGAGGCTCTCTCGTCAGTTTTGGTTCCATCAGTGGGGCTCGATTCCTCCACATGGTCCTTGAAAACAGATGCTATTGACTCAAGCTTTACTGGAGCCTTCTTGGCAAATGAGAACGACACCCCGATCTTCTGCAGTGGAGCGCCCAGATTGTTCTTAATGCCAAAACTGACTGCCTGGGTGGTCTGGAGGGGCATCTGGCTGAACAGCACCGCGCTGCTCGCTTGCCCAGTGCTCAGGACTCCTCTGTCCGTGGCGATTTCTGCGGCCTGGCTAGAAGTTGTGTGGATGGAAGAGCTGCTGTTAGGTGCTGCTGCTGCATCGTCATCATCCCCACCTTCTTCATCCACAGCCACAGTGGTAGGTTTGAACATGGGCCCACTCCCAGGAGCACTACAGAGTTGTTTGAAAGAGGGGAAGGCTGATTAGAGATTCACATCAGAGCCACGGGTGGCCTCAAACCTCCATTTCTCTTAATTATGCTAATAACAGGCATACAGGGAATTAAAAATTAAGTGCACAATAAATACATTAAAACACAGAAACCCGGAGGGGAACACTTTAATCTCCCATATCATTCAATCATGGATTTAAAAGCAGCCATTCTTCTACACCCGGAATTGTATCACCCGCTTGCAAAGGGAGACAGCTGAACTGGAGTTTGATCACATCAACTTGGGCTTGAACACACTACAAAGGCAATTTCCCCTGCCTCTGACATTTGCATTTCCGTTAGTTCAAACCAAGGGGGGTGGTTCGAACTAACGCGTCCCGGCGCTCACGTCCTGGTTCGAATCTGCTGTGATTCAAACTAGCATGCAGCGAGATCATGCTAATGAAGTGCCGGATATTTATATCCCCGCTTCATTAGCTATTTCAAATGCCTGCATTTGCATCCCTAGTCCGAACTAGGGTGCATGTGTAGACATACTCTAAGGTGCCAGGAACGGCTTACTGATATTAGAGCAATCAGTGCTGCCCAATGTCTTGCATTCTTTCATACTGAAGAGCTGTCATCTCTAGCTGGTAGGGAAGACAAGCGCCCGTTTTGCATAGGGATTAATTTACTCATCTGAACATCAACAGAAAAAAAAAGAGAGGCTGAGACAAGGGGACACTCATGTCTGTGCTGTCCAGCTATCGCAGGGGTGGGGAACCTTTTTTGGACAGGGGGCCACTGAGCCACAGAAAAATCAGCTGGGGTCTGCACACAAGTGAGAAACAAAACCAGAGCGCCCTCCCTCCCTGACGTGGCCCCGACTGAGAAGGCGAAAGACCCTCCCCACATTCCCTCACACACCAGAGCCTGGGGGCACCGCCTAGTAGACTTTGTGTGCTCCAACCTCGCGATGGGGCAGCAGGGGGGCTCCTCGATGCCAGAGGGGGTCCTGAGCCGAGGGGGCCAGATCCAGGCAAGCCAGGGGCTGCACCTGGCCCCCAGCCCTGAGGTTCTCCCTCCCGCCCGAGCTATAGCCACGAATCTCCACCACTCACCATTCAGACTGCTTTCTCTGCTCAGCCAGCTCGTGTAAACGCCGGAGGGCTCTCTCTTGCTTCTTCTCATCTCTACGAGATCTTGAAGAGACATTGCGAGCAAATTCCCTTTGCTTGAGATCTTTCAACCTCTGTGGCAAGTGAAAAGGCAAGTGAATCAGGGCATTAGTGGCTCTCTACTGTAGTACCAGAAAGTGCAGTGTGGTGCCAGCCCCACCAGGCAGTACAAACGTACTGAGCTCAGATGGGACAACAATGTCTTAGCCCACCAAGCCAAACGGGACAGTGCCAGCGCCCAGCAGTGAAATGGAAAAATGCCTGTTCCACCTCATACTTGCTATTCCACTCAGGGGTTACACACTTTAACATGTACAATAAAGTGGATTTCAAAGAAACAAGCAAAGTCTGGGAGAAAAAAAATGACCTGACTCTGCTGTTCTTGCAAGGTTGCAAATATACTCGACAGTGCCTGACAGATGTCTGACAGTAAATGCCAAAGAAAGAAAAGGGATTAGCAAGTGCAGAAAAATTATCCAGAAACATACTTTGAAAAGCAATGTACAAATTACAGTTGGGGGAGGGGAGTTACTACAACTGAACTCATTACGAGAGGGAGTTTACACAACACAGAAGGAATTTGTAGCATAAGCAGTAAGCCACTTTCCTGTGAATTTCTTAGTAAGTCACTGAAAAAAGACTCCGAGGTGGGGCTGGCTACTGGAGCGCCACAGACTTGAAGCTTGCGATGGAAAGGGGACCAGAGCTGCACCCGAGTAGTTTCATATTTTCTTGAAATACGAGTGATTTTCAAAGCCCTTAGGCGAGCATGAGGGCCACAGCCCATTCACTTGAATAGGGACTGGGCTGTCCAAATCCATGGGGCAGCTTTGAAAATCTCAGGCCTGGTCTACACTGGGAGTCTAGGTCGAACTTAGCCACATTAGGTCGATTTTCTAAACAGCGAGTTCATCCCGCCAAGCCCTTTCCATCGACTTCAAAGGCCGTTCAAGTCGATTTCTCCTGCTCGCCCAAGGAGTAAGTGTTAAATTTGACGCTGCTTGGTCAACTTTGTAACAGTGCAGACGCAGCACTATGAATGTCCATGTTCGTAGCTTCCGGGAGGTGTCCCACAATGCCCCATGGTGACTGCTCTGGCCAGGACTTTCAACTCTACTGCTCTTCAGGTGGACAAGGAAACCCCAGGGAAAATATTAATTTAATTTCCTGTATGGCCAGGTGGCAAGCAGACCTTAGAGCAAGCAGCTCACCCGACCTCCCAGAGTCGCAGATGAGCACTGACATGGAGTGTGCATGACCTGGAGTTTCCAGAGTTGCAGATGAGCACTGACATGGAGTGTGCAGGAGAGCCGGGACCTCATTGCTAAGTGGGGAGAGAAATCTGTTCTTGCAGAACTTCGGTCCAGAAAACAAACAACTGATCCCTATGCCAAGACCTCACAGGGCAGGGAGGAGAAAGGCTATGCTAGGGACGCCCAGCAGTGCTGAGTGAAAAATCAAGGAGCGGAGGCAATCCTACCCAGAGAGGACGGACAGACTGGAGCCTTGCTACACACATGCTGCTTCTGGGGGGGAGGGGGGGGGGAAGAGAAGAGGAGGAGGAGTGCTCCCTGAGCTGAAAGCTTGGGCAGCCGCCCAGGAGAAATTCAGGTGCCACCCAGCTCATTAGCAAAGTATTCAGAGCTGCCCACAGCTGGCAACGTGTTTATTGGTGGTGCCCATATGCACATGCCTCAGTGCCCAGAACAAAATGTATTCCACACAGACAAAAAAAATAGCGGGAGCATTGGGAGGGACCTGACCAGCCTCCCAAGCCTATTCATGGGTGGCTCCCAAGACACCTCTCAGCAGGGCTCCTTGCAGGCCGGGCGCGCCTGCGGCCTCTCGGGAGAGATTCCAATGCCGCCCAGCAGAGCGCCCACAGCTGGGTGTTCGTTTCTACTGGGGAGCACGCGCACTTGCCTTGGCGCACAGAACAAATTTATTCTGTACATGGATGGAAAAAAATCCACCCATGGATGAAAAAGATTAGCGGGACCATTGCTTCTCAGGCAGCCTGGTGCAGACGCATGGAGGCGGAGAACGGCTGGCAGGCGAGCGGGGCGACGCTTGTCATCAAGACAATCCCCCCCTCCCAGGGCGGCTGGCGGGTGGTGGTCCTGGGAGCGCACTTCTGGTGAGTTCACGTTAAGGCGATCGGGTGCAATCTGTGGCAGCCACTGGGCCTGCAGCCAGGGAGCTCCTGCAGGAAGAGAGCGCTGCACTCTTCCGGCAAACGGGGGTGCTGGACACAGGCACCACGCGAGCCCCTGCCCTGCCCCCATGTCTGGACACCCCCCGTCCCGCTCTTGTGGGAAGAGAAAGCTGCACTTTTCCAGCAAACAGGGAGGTGCTGAACACATGGACACCACATAAGCCCCTGCCCCACTCTGCTGCCCCTCACAGACTGGTGCCCCAGCCTGTCCCTTACCATGCCTGCCACCAAACCAAACCCATCTGCTCCCTTAGGCGAACCTGCTGCATAGTGGGAGCTTAAAAGCGTAACTGTGGCCTTGTACATTACACATCCCCACGGTCTTTAGGCAGATCTGCCTTTTATTCTAACCGATTAGGCTGTGCCCTCTACAACATCCCTCCTGTAAAGTCTGCCCTTCACTTTTATTCCAGCAGGGAAAGCAGTGAGCCTGTTGCACATCCCCTCACCCCACCAGCTGGCACAAATCCACAGGCGAAACCGGAGCAGGGCGAAACGTGTAAGGAACAAGTGCAGCCTGCCAGCTCAGCAGGGAACATCGCTGGAGGAGATGCGAGCGGAGCGCGTGAACAGACCAGGCAGGGGCTGGAGCGAAGCACCAGGAGAGTGTCTGGTCATCTCTGGGGGACAGGGTGGACTGCATGGCAGCCTACATGGACAGGCACCCCCACTCCTTGGGCACCAATGTTCTGTAGCAGAAGGGTCTTGACTGCCTGGGCCACTTGGATCACAACAGTAGGTTCCCCCAACTCCGAACTGACTTCCAGCTGTCCGGTGCTGCAGGCTTCCGCAGGGCAACTGCCACGTGCTTCTCCACTGTCAGAGCT